CATCACATGTATTTAGTATATTTTTTTCAGATGCTAAGCTCTAAATTGATGTGCCCTAATTTTGTTCCTATATTCCCATTCCCTTCCCTCTCCATGCAATGCGGTCTTTGGTATTCTGTTCTCACATCAATACCTGTAGTATTCATATCTCATCAGCACACATCTTTATATCATAGTATAGGCTGATCTCAACGCCTTCTACCCTGCTGTAATTAACCACACAGGATTTCCTTAGAGTGATGCAGCTCCCACCAAGAATATGTTAAGTGCCATTTTGGCACATCACTTCACAACTTGTATATGAACAGAAGAAATGAAGGAACACAGGACACATATATGGATTTTTTAAAAAGAATGGATTTTTTAAAAAGAATGATTTTTTTAACGAAAATGATGGCAACCACAAAATGTGTCTGATTCAAACAGCATGCCTGTAGCAAACATTTCACTGTAAGTACCAACCAATATATGACAAATGATGATTATATACAAATGGCTATGGGTACATGACATACACCTATGAAAACAACCATGTCAATGATTTTTACATGAAGACGCCTCAGTATACTTTCTGGTGAGTTTCAGTATCTAGTTATCTTCTAACTTGTGATTTCCCCTCCCTCTCACCCTCAATTTCTCTTTCTCCTGTTTTTGTGTGTGCATGTGGGAGGCATTTTCCACATCGAACATATGGTTGCGCATAAAAATACAGAATGAAGTAAATAATAGAATAGAGAAAAAAAAATGTAGCCAATTATCAAATACTAGTACACGTTAAAAAAAAACTTAAAAACTAAAAGCTATGAAAGTGCAATGCGGCACTTAATAAACGAGAATATGAAGTAGGAAAAAAGTTACACACCAACAATCATGCTTCAAATTCTGTCATAAGGTCTATTTTGGCCTTTTTCTTCCTTGGGTAGAAACCTGCCTTATCAATAGATGTGTCCACTGGGGGGCAATGGGAAAATAATAATTTAATATATTCTTCCACCTACTCCGAATGGAGTAAGCATACATGACCACTTCATGTCAAGCCCCTTGTATACAAGTTTACAACTAATTGGATTTCCTAACTCAAGCTTTCTAAAGGATGAAGTAGTCAAGCAAGTGGCAAGGTGTGATCAATTTGCATGTGTAAGCTTAAGCAGGTAATAATTACACTTGAAAGGGTATCAAATATTTTTCTCCTTGCCACATCGCTGATAAGAGAATGTGTGTGCAGCTAGCATCGAAGTAATAGTAGCTGGTAGCTTTCACGTGTCAGTTTCTTTATGAGTGGCATAAACATGCAGCGATGGCTCTTTTCGCTTTGTTTATACTTTTAACAAGCCGCCCCCCCCCCCACAACAGTGGTAAATACAAGCCGTAATGACAGTTTTTTTTTTGTTTATAAAACCTGAAAGGTTACAGTATCACCGTTATTTGCTTCCCTCAGCAGCCCTCAAAACACACAGATAAATAGTTAAATCAGCCTATTTTAAGTATCTGATCAAAGAAATCAATATTAATTTTTTTCTGTTTGAAGATTATGAAGGTCACACTGAAATAAGCATGGCTTATTTCTCAAGTTTAATCAATACACAATCTTAAAATTCATTTAGACAAGTAATCAAAGAAATCTTCAATAGCCATCAGAAAAAAAATGTAAACTGTAAATTCTTTTTATCGTACTCTATATACAAAAGCTAAATGTCCAAGCAACCAACAGTTACACAACTTATGTGTGTGCAGATATGTTTCACATGTTTAGTTTTCTGAATGGTTCTATAAACAGGGAGTTTTTTTTTTTTTTAATAACTGAATCTGCCATTCATCATCAACATCCCCTTTCCCCCCATGTGGGTTCTGGATATCACAGCTTTGCTGTAAACCACAACATAAAATGCTAACCATTCATCTGAGAAAGAATACAGAAAAAAAAACTGCTGAGCATCATAGGGAGGACAAGTATGGTGCAACAGACTGCATGGACCACTGAGTTTGGTCAGCTACTTATCTCACCCGTACACAAAACACTGTAAAACATAATTACATTCCTATCTTATCAAGGTCCTTTTAAGATAAGAATGCCAGATCAACCAGGACATTTGATTACTCATCTCTTGAAATGTTATGGCAGATCATCAGATTCAAATGATACATTCCCTGATTGGGTTCTGGCCACTATTTTGGTAGGAAAAAAGAACAGAACTAATGGCCTCTAACAAGTACTCTAGTGTTGTAAAAAGGTGATTTACTAGGGATTTGCTGAAATCGTATATTTTTGACATAACAGCATAGATATCACAACCTAGATGCAAACCACATTGCAATTACCCTTTTCAAGGTGAGTGCAGAAGAAGAAGAAGATGTCATGTAGAACCAAAAAGAAAGCCGGCACAGAATTAGGTTCAAAACAGAAGGCGAGTTACGTCAGATTACTCGTCATTTAAAGGTTAAAGCTACCTGACCCAATGCGCACACAAATCCTGAAATGGTTTCTACGTAATTCCAAATTCAATTTACATTATATAAATATGAATACTTATATGCATCTATAATTCTAGCTAAAAGGAGCAACTTCACTGCAGCAAAGAATGGCTAACTATCTGCCAAGAGCATCACACAAAGCTCAAACAAACTCTATAGCTCCAGCAATGATCCCCAGGGACCTCTGTAAATATACTGCACTCAAAAACTCAATGACTTGTCCGTGAAATGAATCCATGACCTTCAGAGAGCAAGGCAAATGGCTTGACCAGTTTGTATGTACTTGTGATAATTTAATGGACTGAGTAACAATTCTCAAAGTAGCCATGTTACTAGAGAAGAAATGTATATGAAGTTTACAAGGTTAACGTCTGGCATCTCACATAACAAGTGGATGTTGGAAATATTGACACCCTGGACATATATCATCTATGCTCTGTATACAAATAGGTCAGGTCTGTAAAATGGATGCAAATACAAAACTCCAGTTCTGGAATTATTAAAGCCCACAAGTTTTCAGCTGGTGAAGGTAAAGAAGAAGAGAACAGAGCTTTCCAAACTAGTCATTTTGGTGACACAATTTTGTAATTCAATTACCTAGCAGACCAGAAATTAAACTAATCTTGGTTCTTTTCTTTTAGTTCACCCCATGTCATGGACTCCAGGAGTTGTTGCCAGGGAGAGTCTAAGAGAACATGGTGTTCCGGTGTGAAATGTGCACAGACTAACTCTAACACCCCCCCCCCCCCAGGATACTGGACTTTTCCTGGGATCTCCTCAGTAACTCCTGGTGTCCCTGAGATGGGGTGTGTAAAAAAAAAAAACTACTATTTTATAAGAGATACAGATACATATATGATTTACATCTGCGCGACACACCTATACACTGCAATCAATACACTAATGTGCTGTTAGACAGTTTGGAAAGAGTCACCTTAGAAGTACATCATCTCATTCATAAATAGACACTAACTCTTACAGGACATGAAAATGTATGCATTAGCGGTAACAGATTTTTTGTGACTTTGCTTTCTCAAATTCTGTGAAAGTGTAATGGTTTATTTCCCGTGTGGGTTTGTGGCCCATTTTTTTTTAGCAACACACAATAATAGACTCACTGAGCTCCTAACAGGCATATTCTAAAAGTCAACAGATCAGGGATGTTTCCTTCAAAGTTGAAGTCCATCTGCTGGAGAGGCGAGGAACCAACAGTCTGCATACAAATAAGCCAGATGTGTAAAACGAATGTGCATACAAAACTCGAGTTCTGGAACAATACTTAAATCCAGAAATGGATGAATAAGCAGAACTTTCCATCAGACTGTTCACAGTCAGTAAGCAACAAGAAGAAAATCTGTAAATTAAAAAAAAAATTGTTAAGAAATGTAATTCAATATGAAACTGATATGCTATGCAGGATCTCCAAGCACCTTTACTGATCAGTATTATTTGCAATTATTATAACAACAATAATAATTTACACAGAGAACATTTACTCTTTATGACCTCGACAAAGAACAATATCTACAACCGGCTTCTGTAGACCTGCTCTGCTGTTACATAAAGGTTTACCATACCATCGTTGGATTAAATTTTTTTTTCTGGATGACAGACCAACAAGGCAGGTCCCAGACCTCTAAAGAAGTTATAATTAGGGCACTTGTAAGGACTACACCAGCAAGTTGTAACCTGCAGTGCCATTCAGGTAAGGACTTTAGAGACCAGCTCAGAAAAAATAATAAAGCACCAGCGCTACAGAATCTTAGCTCTATTCTGTTGCTCTCCTTGTCTGATCTATGGAATGAGAGTGGAGCACGTACAGAGATATCCACACATAATGCCTTATGCAATCAATGGGGTGTGCAACTGCTGACCTGTTGTAATTGCAGCTTACATCAGCAATGAACTGTACATTTCTCATACTGCACTCTTTATTTTGCACTTCTGATGGCTGATCATGCATTTAATACGTGTGGATGCTATTGGCTTGGCTAAGACAACAGTCTTTGTCAGGGTTTTTTCTCCACAAGTGACAGTGTGGTTCTGTAATTCTGTGTGGTTTTTTTTTTTTTCTTGGCACAGGAAAAGAGCAATTATGGGGTGACCCACTTGCAATGAAGATAGAAATGTGATTACCTGTTCCCTGTTACTACACACAATAAATTAAATCTGTCAACAAAACGAGACCTGGAACACATAGGTAAATGTAAAATTCTTTTGTGAAAAATCTGGCCCAAATCCTAGTCTTAAACCAATGATAATTATAAACATAGGCGTTAAGTATTGGCTCTCAATTCTTTGAAAGTTAAAAAGGATTTTGTACACAATGGACTTTGTAACTATTTCAAACACACACAATAGTACATGTGTACCCCGGTGCACATAAAAAAATTGATGTATTTGTGCTGCTATGCTAATTTTAAAAGTCATTTTAACCCACAATTATTTAAAATACTAGCTTTTCATGTTTCTGTTCCTGGAATGAAACATAGATGAGTTAAAATAATTCTTCACTGTGTCTGTGTATCTCAACTTCGTAATGCCTCCAATCTGGCCTTCATATCTTCAAGGTCATCTTCCTCTTCAATGGCAACAGCAGTAGCAGCAGCGACACGAGAAGGTCCTGCTGTGGCACCTTCGACCTCTGTGACCGGCAATGAATCATTCACTGCAGCAGGAGCTTTGCCAAGTTCACCTGTTGAGAAGTGGAGAATTTGTATAAGTAAATTTGCTCATTGGGATTTTTTTTTTTTAGAAGACTGGGATAAAAGGGTGAACTAAAACATGTAATGACTTTTAAAATCATCGTCCAGGCAAGAATTTTCTTTTCACAAGAAATTCCTTTGGAAGTAAAAGTGGTCAGCATTGATTGCCAACTGATCTAACAAAACATGAAGCTAACACTACATACCCAACATATCTTATGTTGCAAAAAGAGATATTTATTTCACAAAATATGGCTAATTTAAAAAATGTAAATACATTTTAACTATAGAGAAGTGTGCCATCTGAATATGGCAACTTATTTTCACTTTCCACAAACATGTGTAAAATGTAATAACAATTTTTTTGGGGCTAATTTTATGCCAGCAGTGTCAAACAACTAGAACTAATGAGTGAAGAATAAACATGGTACCTTACCAGAACTAATGAATGAAAAATACACGTTTCCTAACTTGAACTAATGAGGGAAAAATAATAACACAGATGAGTCTTAGGAGAGCTGCCAGTGTAACAAAAAGAGATAAAACTGTAGATTAAAAAATCAGAAGAAGACTAGGACTGTAAGCAGTTATACTGGTTATTAAAGAGCAACATACAAGATGGTCTGACCATCTGACAAGAATGTCCTGGTACCAACTGCCACAGGCGGCCATTCTGAAGAAATATAATGAACACAAAGCAAGGGAAGACCAAGAATGATAGCAAAAAGAGTAGTAGAGAAATTAAGATTACCTTACCGTGTATTTCTGTGTATACGATGTCCCCAAGGTATAATACAACCCCTATTTTTATAGACTAAAAATTAGGAAATATATTTTTTTTTTAAACACATTCTGTGTGTAAGATGACCCCTAATTTTAATCTTAAACATAAAATAAATCGAAGATAAAAATTGGGGAAACATACTGTCCCATACACTGAAACAAATGGTAGATAATTCATTAACAAGAACAAATAGAAGACCCTTATGTCTCCCCACAAACACTTCAATGAGTTAATTTGATGAAGAATACAAATCTTACCAGCAGTAAGTTCGTACAAGACCCTGTCAACCTCCTCATCGGCCTCTTCTTCCAGATCATCATCATCTAGAGTTTCCATGGCATCATCCATCATTTCCTCTATAATACCTGCCTGAGGACCAGAAGAGGTCAACATTAAACAAACTAGATTCCATATTTAAACATGGGCACATAAAAGACAGGCAGCTGGCATGATGTGGTGACGAGATGCTTGCCCTTGGACCCAGAGGCAGTGGGCTCAAATCTGCATCAAGCCAGATTTCTTTCCCCACAAAATGATCATGGCTCCTAGGTTGTAAAAAGTAAAGTACCCTTTTCCACGCCTTTAGGCAGATAGAGCTAGACCAATACTTTATAGACAAATCGGCACTTGGTGGGTGATGTAGTCAGCATCATGTAGGCTGCCTTTACTTCACAGGACTGCACCTGGCACCCACTCAAGGCTGGGTAAACCTGGGAGGCTCCCAAGGTGACCCAGTCTAAAACTGGTACTGGGTAAAGTGCTGGGAAGTAAAGGTAGCTGACGTGATGTTCATTCACATGACTAGCAACATTTAACTTTTTGTTTACATCTGTGTAAAATGCTGTTACAGAGATCAAGTGTTGCAGACTTCACATACAGAAACCAGACTTCACATACAAAAATGCTAAAATAAAATATTCCAACCATTAGACAGTTCTTTTCTAAACTGAAACTATCTTTAAGAGCTCACAACTTCATTGCTAATCTGGTAAAAGTGGGCATAGGTAATTATGAAATTAGCCACGGAAAATAAAACTGCTAGTAATCAGTTAGGACTATCATCACAGGACCATGTGGGTCCTGCGAAACCAGTGGGGATGGGAGAGGAGGGGGGGGGGGATGAACAGACCCACTGTCTTTATAACAAGCAGATCTTAAAAGTGAGCTAATTGGGGGTGTTTCATTTGAATTTGTTGTGCATCTGCCTAATAGGTGAGCAACCAACATTCTGCATACAAATAAACCACATCTGAAAAATGGATGTGCATGCAAAAAAAAAAAGAGTTTTGGAACCACACCAAAGTCCAGAAGTGGATGAAGAACCAGGACTTTGCTCCGCAGTAAACAGCTGGTGAACATGAAGCAGAAGAACAGGCCTGTTAGCGGACAGTGGGTCTAGTCCCTTTTCCCTCCTAAAATAGGGCCCTGAAACCAACACTGGGATATGTCTACTAATATAGTCAATATCACACTGGATGCCTTTACTTCCCATGATATCTCCTGATACAGTTTACGACTAGTTAAACCTGGGAGTCTGAATTAATTTGTTTTAAATCGTGAACTCAGCAATCTGAACACATGGTCACGTAGGAAACCCATAAAGTGCAGTGGAATCTTGAATGACATGACTAGTACCATTCAACTGACTGTATGTCTGTATAAAATGCTGTTACAGAGATGAAGTGTAGCAAGCTTTACAGACTAAAACAAAACATGTCAATCATTAGACAGCTCTTTTCTACACTGATTTGATCTTTAATAACTCACAATTTCAAGGTTAATCTGGCAAAAGTAAGCATAGGTGGTTTTGAAACAGACCAATTAGCCATGGAAATTAAACTATTTGTATTTAGTAAGGACTGTCATCACAGCATTTCTCCATGTAGGTCCTGGGACCCCTGTGTGGGTGGGGGAGATGAACAGACCCACTGTTTTTATAACAAGTATGTCCTAAAAGTTAACTAATTTTTTTTTGGGGTGGGGGGGGGGGGGGGGGTTCCCTTCATTCAAAGTTTTAGTGCAACTGCCTGAGAGGCGATGAACAAAATATTGGGAATACTAATTATAATTAGCCAAATCTGTAAGATGTCAGATGCGCATGCACAAATCAAGTTCTCGAACCAGGCTTTAGTCCAGAAGCGGATAAACACATAAATTTTACGCTTATTTCTGGTTCCTGTGTTTTCTGCACACACCCACTTTTTCTAACAGTATGACTTACTTTCATTATTTCTTTACACATTTGCCTTATTTTCATAATTAGCAACTTCTTTCATAATTTCTTTAGACATTTCCCTTATTTTCCTGATTAACATCTCTTGCCCTAACAGTATTACTCACTTTCATTATTTCTTTAGATATTTCTCTTATTCTCATAATTAACAACTCTTTTCCTAATAGTACAGCTTACTTTCATAATTTCCCTTATTAAAAACTCTTTTTCTAATAGTACAGCTTACTTTCATAATGTCCCTTATTAACAACTCTTTCCCTAATAGTACAGCTTACTTTCATAATGTCCCTTATTAACAACTCTTTCCCTAATAGTACAGCTTACTTTCATAATTTCCCTTATTAAAAACTCTTTTCCTTACAGCATTACTAGCTTTCATCATTTCTTTAGGCCAGTTGTTCTTAACCTGTGGGTTGTGACCCTTTTTTGGGTCGAATGACCCTTTCACAGGTGTCTCTAAAGACTATAGAAAAACACATACTCATTGAAGTTATGAAGGGAAATAATTGTTTGTGGGTGCCCACAACATCAGGGAACTGTACTAAAGGGTCGCGCGTTAGGAAGGTTGAGAGCCACTGCTTTAGACACTTCCTCTATTTTCATAATTAACAACTCTTTTCTTAAAGCATACTGTCACAATTTCTTTAGACATTTCCCTTACTTTCATAATTAACTACTCTTTTCCTAAAAGCGCAACTTACTTTCATCATTTCTTTAGACATTTCCCTCATTGTAGCGTGAATCTCTGGCACCTTCACAAGCTGTTGCATGCTCTGCATGACCTCTGTACTCTTTGCTAAAGCCCCAGCAACCCGCAGTGTAGCTGCCAGTTTTCAAAGAAGAAACATTAGCTTGGATATTATTGTTTACTTAGATCTTAACTCTTTTGCCCTTTACAAATCTTAGAAAATGATTTGTTTCAATTTTTTTTTCATCAACGCATCATTCAAATTCTCTGAGTATATACACAAAGAAACTAGGGTAGGGCTACTAAACTGGCGGCTTGCTGGCCAAATATGGCCCGCAGGAGCCTAGCAAGTGGCCCACAGAGACCTAGCAAGTGGCCTACAGATCACTGATAGTTTTACCGTATTAACAGTCTTTCTAAACTGGAGAACAACCAAGGCAATTACTAATAAATTACAGACATTCATTAACTGGTGCCTGCGCAGAATAGAGGGAATAAAATGGTATGATAGAATAACTAATGTAGAACTTTGGGAGAGAACTAAACAGGCTCCAGTGGATCAGGAAGTGAGGAAAAGATGCTGGCGTTGGATAGGGCACACACTGAGAAAACAGGAGAACAGCATAACTAGAATGTCTTTGCATTGGAACCCACAGGGGCATAGGAATAAAGGAAGGCCAAAAAAACACATGGAGAAGAGAGCTGGAGAACGAGGTTAGAAAGATTGGGAGGACATGGGGAGAGCTCCATGCAATGGCGAAGGATAGAACGACTTAGCGTGAGTTGGTTGAGGGCCTATGCTCCATTGGGGGATAGAAAGGCAGAAGAAGAAGAAGAAGAAACAGTCTTTCTATACTGGGGCTTGATGATCGCCATTTTAAACATTTTAGCCTCTGATTAAACTTAGATGAATAGCCCTGAACTAGGAGAAGAGAAGAAAAAGCAGAAGAAATCTAGAGATGGGCCATATTTTTTAAATACAAATCCATGTGATTGAACCCCTAGACTACAGATAATACAATTTTTTTTTTCATCATTACAATTCACATATACCACAAAATGAATTTCTGAATTAAAATCGGAGCAAAGAATTACCTGCCTTCCTTTCTCCTGACCATAATTATAATAAGAATGGTTCTGTTGATTTAACCATGTCAGCAAAGTGTTGAAATATGAGTTGATTATGACAAAATAAATGATGTAGCCATTTATAAAAATGGCTTTCTCAGGGTGACAGGATTAACAAAGTATATATATTTATTTGATGTTTACTTTGTACTTTCTGAGCACAGAATTCACAAGTCCTATGCTTATTTTCCCAAAAAAAATATTATTTTCCAACAGAAACTATATTATTCACTTATAAACAGTCAACAGAAAAAGAAAAATCAGACCGGCAGTCAAGAAAAAGTATAATTATGTACTGAATAATCACCATCAACATGTGCCCTTCTGATAAGTGTAGGCAGTCATGTTTTGCCATCTAACACTATCACTAGAATCATGGATCAGTTGAGTACTAACTCATGTTTATGCTTATCCGAACCGAGTTTCAGTGAGCTGAGTTAAGAACCCACATCCCCAAGTGGGTTACGGGATCCCATTTGGGAGGAGAAAATCCACTCCCTGCCATTTAAAAACCATGTCGTAAGTGGGAGACACATAAGGGATTTGATGAAATTGGATGTGTTCGGTCAAAAGGAGCAGACACTGCAGCCTAGCTGTTCACCTAAACCACAACACAATGTATCGACCACCCCTTTCTCAAGAATGAATGAAGAACCAACATCCTAGAGCTCAGGATATTCCCATTAGTGTTTTGTCTATATATTCAGCAGCAAATACAGAGTTTCAGTTTCCGAGGGTACCAGTATCTGTTTGATGATATGTCTGTCTTGCTAGCCCTCGGAGTGTGGAGTGTCAGCCTGATGCCCTGGTCCGTCTTCCTTCTGCACCTTTCTGTCCAGACCATAACAATTTATTTATGCTAGCATATATAATGTGGGGGTGCATGTCCAATTCTTAACCCCTTGAAAAAATGTTGTTTGTTCGTTCCGCATATCAGTTAACATTATTATTTAATGAATGTGCTAGAACCAATTGTTTATTAGCAAAGTGATCCTTCATGTCTATCTATACTGAGTTCAAGTGAGTAAAGTAGATTATATAGTGAATCAGTTAAAACTGACATTAATCATCCCTGTATGGGTTTCAGGACTCCCTTTTTTAAGGAGGAAAAAAAACCCAGACCCACTGCCCCCGTAACAAGCACATCAAAAGAGGCAAATAAATAGAGGCGTTTCTTTCAAAGCTGGGGTGCATTTGTCTGAGAGGCAATGAACCAACAGTCTGCACACAAATAAGCCAGAACTGCAAAACATGGAGTAAGACCAAAGCCAAGAAGTGGACAAAGAAGCAGAACATTTCACCAGAATTTACAGCTAGTGAATATGAAAAAGAAGAAATCGATCACAACCTTACCTAGCTGATGCTTCATGCTCATCTGTATTGAGCTCAAGTGAGCTATTGAAGAATACAGTTTATTTATCTGTTTGTCAGCCTTCACAATCTCCTTGGCCAAAATTCTACATGAATCTCGCTCTCCCCGTTTTGCTGAATCTTTGATCATTCTTTTCGTCTTCTCTTCTTCACGCTGGATGCCTATAAGAGAAGCATACAAATATCAGCAACAGAATGGTATGACATTTTTGATTGGCTGGTTCATGTTCATGGATAAGTAATAATAATAATAATACATGTCTAAGTGTAGCAACTGACAGTATGGCTGCTTACTATTCTCTACCAACTGCAGAAAAACATATGTTGTGGTAATAACAATTTGTTCTCCAAAATGATTCATTAAATTAAATGGGACAAGTGCGAATCAAGTCAATGAGTTTAAGTAACTGGGCACCCTGATATCATTGGATAGAAGATAATTAAAAAAGTTAAATCAAGAAAAGCTCAAGCAAAAATAGCAAAATCACAAAATGAAGAATGCTATATGCAATTTATCTACATAATTTGAGGTGAGAAACAATCCTGATGTCTGGAAGTGAATAGCAGCCAGTTAGTAATAAATGTGGATCATTTCATGTTTTTGTAGATGAATGATGGACAGATAAAAACTAAAGATAGATAGTTTTGTCACTTAATTTCTTTCAGGATAACTTCATTACAAGAGCAATAAATACTTCTCAAAAGAAATTACATAGGAAGAGAAATAAATACCCACATCAGAAGCTGACAATCTATATTCTTTGCTGACACTGTCAGAAGGGAAACACAACCAGCAGTAAAGTGCAAGGGGGACGGAGGCATTGGCAGACCAGGAAAGAAGATGTCAGAAAGTTTGGCATCATGACATGAAGGATTAAAAGTATATGATACAGGAGACTACCAACGCCACACATCACATGCTATGAGAAGAAGAAAGCTTATTAAGCTCATATCAATGTTGCCCATTATATGTATTTCATTCTTCTTACGTGAATTAACAGATAATGTAAATGTGAAGAAAAGTTAACAGACAACATGATTTTGAAAAGGTAAAAGACAACATTATTACTGATACAAATTCAAAATGAGGGGGAATAAACTTCAGTGAAAATGTGAAATACTCTAAACTTAGGTCAAGAAAACTTAAGACCTCTATTATGAATGAACAAATAACAAAATACCTCGAATCTGTCTCTCAATATTGTTGCTTTCCTTTCTTATTTTGTGAGTCCATTCATTTACCTGAAACATAAAAATTACTCTGTACATACTTGTGTGGTATTTATACAATGTAAAACTAATACTGGCATGCTCCCAGGCAGACAACTACCATACAAGCAAAATCAGTCAATCAGGTGCCGTCTCCACAATGAAAATTGGCTGCAATTGATCTCCAGCATGCTATGTCTTTCTCCCTAAATGCACTCGCTCAGACTGCTGTTCGTCCATCTCATGATGTTATCCTGCCACTTGTATTGCTTGCATGTCTTTAACTTTCCCTCCAGTATGGTTTCTTATAAGAATGTTATATCTTTTAACATGGCCAAAATACTTAACGGGTCACTTTTTTTTTTTTTTTTACAATTTCCTTCAGCAATTCTATATTCATCTCTAGTCTCTCCATGACCTCTGCTCTTGACCGTTGGTTGTTGTTTTTTTTCTCCATGAAATATTACTTATTCTTCTGTGCCTCACATCTCCAGAGACTTCAACGCAACATTTCAAACTTCTTGTTCACTGTCTATGTCTCTGCACCCTCCAGCAGTGTTGAGTGTACATAACATATGACAATGTTCATTGTTAACAAGCAAAACCTTAGGTTTAAAGTAAAATCATCTGGCTGTCACTTTGACATGCCATCTAGCAACTTCCAGTTAGTTAACTCTTTGAGTCCCAGGGGGTTTATCATCAGAGGCCCAACGGGTAGTCAAGAGAGACGTTAAATCGGCGCATCATGCATTCATTGGGCGTCTAGGTAGGAAACTATGAACGTACGATGCGTTCCTTCGGACTCAAAGAGTTAATCAAAACATCATTCTCAATGTACATCAAATTATTCAGTCCATACGATTCCCTCCTCAGCAGAGCTGCCCATCAGGTGTTGGCTGACGACACCAGTTCTGGGTAGGTTTATTATTCTACTTTTGCTGCCTACATGGTGCTCTTCTCTAGTACTCATTTTTTTGACTGGGTTGAGTTGAGTCAAGAACTGACATCACAGCACTCGGGGGATTCCCATGTCTGCTCCGTCCTCATCTTCAGCAGCCAGCGCAGAATTCCAAAACTGATGGTACCGGTCACAATCTGGTTAAATATTTCTCTTGCCTTTCCTCTGAGTCTAGTGAGTCGGCCAGTCCCTCTGGGTTTTTTTTAACTAGCTGTTCTTGCAGTCTGGTAACAGTTGTAGACTGACACAAACATCTTACTATTCCAGAATAGTTCACTGCGTGTCCATCCACCACAACAGTCATGTCCACAAGCCTATCAGCCTTTTCATTTCCCTTTATACCTGCATGCGCTGTGACAAAATGAATCGGCCAACTGTTGTTAGCCGTGACCACTCAGCAACTCCCATCTTCCCGTGTATACTCACTAAGAAGCAATCAAGTTCTAAACAGCTGTAATCTGCAGCGATCTACTAAGTAGTTTAATATGTATGATGTAAATCGTGCACTAAAATAAGTCGTACAAATTGTATTTGTTTTGTTAGGTCTCACTATTACTGTCCTAAACATATTGATATATACGGTTGCTCCCTGTGTGGGTTCTGGGGCCCCATTGTGGGACAAAACCATAAAAAACAGGCTGCCTCCCCAACAAGCGTGTCGTAAAAGTCGACTAACTAGAGCATCTATCAAAGTCAAGAGTACATCTGCCTGAGAGGCAAGGAACCAACAGTCTGCATACAAACATGTCGGCTCTATTCCGAATAACGGTCCCAAATTATCGAGGCAGAAAATATACCCTAACAGGGCCTCATTCACGTGTCAATTGCGCACTTCCGGGGACTATACCGCCACCACCGATTTGCGAACTTCCGGGGACCATATCGCCACTGCCGAGAGTATCCCAAACGCCGCTGACGCAGCGTGGATTGGGGTTGAACTAGATGGCTGGGACACACAAGCAAATAAAATCAAGGCAGCTGCAGGAAATGCGGTAGCTGCTGCTCGTGAGTCCCAGCTATCTAGTTTAGCCCCAATCCACGCGGCGTGAGCAGCGTGGGGAATACTCTGAGCGATGGCGGAAGTGCGCAATTTAAGTCGCCGGACGTGCGCAATTTACACGTGACTGAGGCCCTGTTAGGGTATATTTTCTGCCTCGATTATTTGGGACTGTTATTCGGAAGATAGCCAACATGTCAGATCTGTAAAATGGATGAGCACACAACACTCAGGTTCTGCAAGAAGACTAAAGTCTAGAGGCAGATGATCAAGCAGAACTTTCAGCCGGAGTTTAGTTTACAGATGGTGAACGCGAAGAAGAAAATATATGGTTGTTTAAGGCTAAGGTATATGTCCAGAAACAAAAAGTTATAGTTGAAAGACTTTCTGAAAGTGCTAAAAAAGTATTGGCTCTCCTTTAAACTATGGCCGGTAGAAAACAGTAGACGGCCGGTTAGTCGGAGTTCAGTCCCTTGGCTACAGTGCAATTACGGAGTGGAAAAGGCACGAATCACAAAACAAAGTGACGTTGACATGGCTGCTAGAGCTAGATCACTCGTTGCGACTCACATTAGCGACCGCGTTCTTGCGACGCACTTGGGCACTAGCCGGGCGCTTTTGCCTTCACATTTAGCAGAATTTCAATGGCGCCACTGCCACAAGCAGCACATTTTCGGCCATTATTTGGAACTCCTGTATCAAAATTATCAGATTTAGCGGCCGTCATTACGGGTAAGTACTCGACGTTACATGTGTTACCCTAACCCTACCCCGAACCCTAAACCAAACCCTACCCCTAACCCAAACCGTATGATTATAGCATGGCAGTGCACGCTGTCTATCGCCAACACACAGTAATTATGTCATTCCACTCCGTAATTGCAATGCAGCAAGAGGACAGAACTCCGACTAACCGGCCGTCTACTGTTGTCTACCAGCCGTAGTTTAAAGGAGAGCCAAAGTATTTTCCTTTATGTTCCATAAAAATATACATAAAATTCAGCTTGAAAATTAATATCTTAGCTTAGAATTGGTGTAGCTTAGGCTTGAATGAAGTACTGCTGGATTTGATTTTCCAGGTAAAATGCCAACTATCATATAGTTGCATAATTTAAAAATAATTTAGAAAATTTTATCAATGTAATGAACTTTATACCTTAGGCAGCAGTGTTATCAGTATAGTCTATACTATAGACAAGTGACACTATGTTTAGTTAAAAACCGGGCTCTCCTTTCCACTACGGCCGGTTGACAACAGTAGACAGCCGGTTAGTCGGAGTTCTGTCCCCGTGCTGCAGTGCAATTACGGAGTGGAAAGGAGGGAACAAAACAAATGACATAATTACTGTGTTGGCAATAGACAGCGTGCACTGCCCTGTTATAATCATACGGTTACGGTTTGGGTTAGGGTGTGGGTTAGGTTTAGGGCTACGGTTAGTGTCGTCGCATCTCGTCTTCGCACAAACTCATAGTAGCAACCCAAACCCTACACCTAACCCTACTCCTAACCCAAACCGTATGATGACAGTAGGGCACTGCACGCTGTCTATCGCCAACACACAGTAAATATGTAACTTGTTTCGTTCCCTCTATTCCACTCCGTAATGCATCGCAAGAAGCAGTAATTGAACGCGGTTGCTAATTTGAGTCGAAGCGAGGGGTCTGCCAGGCATGTCGACCTCACTGTGTTTTCTGATTCGTGCCTTCTCCAGTCCGTAATTGCACTGCAGCCAGGGGACACAACTCCGACTAACCGGCCGTCTACTGTTGCCTACCGGCCGTTGTTGAAAGGAGAGCCAAAAACCGCACTTAATCAAAAAATCACTTTGAATTTGATTTATTTACTTAACGCAGTATAACTCAGTTACTATGTCATTTCAATTTAAAAAAAAATTTTAGGCGATAATGATCATATATCATAGATAAAATTAACACTTTTGGCATATTAGATTAGTATTAGTTAATAAATATTAGACAAATACGTTCATTAATATGAATAATTTCATTCATAAAGTCACAAAACAAACTATTAAGCAACTACAGTCTTAAAACGAACTATACATTAAAGCCAAGCAAAACAAACAATCGGCAGACACAATTTACAATATATTAATATTTATTATATTATAAAAAATATATGAGTCGGACTGAGTCAGTTCCATTTCTACTGTACTTTTTGTCTCAACTTACCATTTCTTTTGGTGAAGCTTGCTGTGTTTTACCAAATAAACCCATGGCTTGTGAAAGATGCGAAATGAAATCAGAGATTGCGCAATCCGGCTCTGTTTGGTGACAATTATTTCCTAACCGGGATCCAGAGTTAGTCACAACAAGTGTACCTGCCAGACGATAGTTGACTTCTGGCTCGATGGAAGTACACAGATTGTAAACTTCCGCTCTCTTCCTCAAGGGAGGCAACCCTGAATATTCTTATTTGTAAAGATTGTCAGTCAAATGTTATGTTATTTTATCACAATCGACGTCTTTGCACATTAGGCATCCCCATGCGTGCTCAGTCCTCCGATGCAGCAGCCACTTCAAGGTACTTCTACTTATTGTTCCCATGAAGAGTTGGTTATAGTATCTCTTGTCTTTACCTCTAAGACGGCATAGTCGTGCTTCACCAAGCTTAACTTCTCGGTCACGAAGTCGTGTTATGCGTCAGAGATTCGCCATTATCTCCCAACCTAATCCGTACGGATTTTTGGGGCGATTGTCCGCATGGTGGAAGTCGTAAACACAACATTGTAGAAAGTTATCTTCTTCTTCTCGTTCACCGGCTGTAAACTCCGGTGGAAAGTTCTTGTTGTTCGTCCACTTCTGGACTGCAGTCCGGTTCCAGAACCCGAGTGTTGCGTGTGCATCCGTTTGACAGATCTGTATGCAGACTGTTGGTTCCTTGCCTCTCAGGCAGATACACTCCGACTTCAAAGGAAACTCCCAATTTGTCGACTCTTACGACATGCTTTTGGGTAGGCAGTGGGTCTATTCTTGTTTTTCCCATAGTAGGGCCCCGGAACCAACACGGGGATAGAAAGTTATGTAAAGTTAGTTTTCTCGAGTGTCAGTTTATGCTAACTTTTAATTCTGCGACATGGGGAAGAAGAACTTCAAGCAACGTCATTCAAATCCCTAGCCGAACAGCAGAAAGGAAGAAAAACAATTTATGCAGTATAAATATGTCCAGTTCCATATTCTACAAGAATGCAGTGTGCAAAAATACTAATTGAGGTTGTAGGATTTCAGTTATCCACTGATGTTTCAGAAACATTACTGGATGTCAATGACGAAGTTCCAGATGTGTGGTACCTTATAGGGTGGGCCAACTACGTTCAGGGACAGGACTACTATGGCAATGCTAAACATTATTTACTCAAAGCAAAGGAGGTATACGTGAAAGTGAAATATCAAGATGCAGACTCTTAGGACATATAGATGAACTTCTCAAAGAATTAGGACCAGGTCGTGAGGAAGATACTGAAGGTGTTATGGAGCCAGATGCAGGTCTGGAGATTGAAAGCTCTGATGACGAGGAGATGGATCAGTAAACTGTATTCGTTGCACATTTGAATTTTTCATGTCTGGCGTAAAATAAAATGCTCCACTCGTTAAAAAAAAAATTAAAAGGCGTTGATGATATCAGCGCTGTCAATGCTTTTTCCCATTTGCATTGGTGCATTACTTGCTTGCTGGTCAGCTCTTTCATTACCATTTACTCCTGCGTGTCCAGGTATGTAGATCCAGATGATGGAGGTTAAATGTCAGTCAAATGGCATGTATACCCAATCCCGCTATTTGGTGCAGAAACTTGTACAATGGGCAAGCAACTAGAAAATCAAACTCTGGAAATGTGAGTATACAGAGGAAAATGTGACATTTCATGGAAACAAAAAACAGTCCATTTCAGAGGTTCTGGAAATATTACAAATGAAAAAAGAATTCTTCTTCTTCTTCTTCTCCTTCTCCTTCTTCTTTTTCTTCTTCTTCTTCTTCTTCAGCGTTCTGAGCCATCGAGGTTCATTGCTGCGGATATCACCAGCCTCCACTCATCTCTCTTGTTGGTCTTCTCTTTCCAGGTGGTGACACCTAGTGTTTGCAGGTCTGTCTCTCCATCGTCTTCTTGGTCTGCTTCGTGGTCTACGACCCTTGTGAATACAGTTTTTACCTCTCTGTCACTTGACATTCTCTCAACATGCCCCAGGCATTTAAGTCGATTAGATCTCATGATGCCAGTGATAAATGGTGATTTATGTAGATTATTTTCGTTGTTGCTTCTCACTTTCCAAACACTGGGCAAGGAGAGGAGTGGGTCAGAGTACCAGAGGAAAAGTCTGATCTATGTAGGATCATGATCACATTAGGCCGGAAGTGCAGCGAATGGCCAGCGGGTGCTACTGAGGTTGAAGTCCAACAGTTGCTTGACGACGATTCTCGTCCTTATGATCTGATTATCTACACAGATGGTTCTGTATTGAGAGGGAAGAGAAGTGACTGGGGTTTCGTAGCGAAAGCCAATGGAAACTCTTTAGTGCAGACAGCCTGGCATATGATACCACGACATCTAGCATGAGAATGGAGAGGGAGGCGGTCACTGCAGCTTTCCGGTGGCTAGAGAACAAGATTCATACACATGTCGTAATTGTAACGGGCTTCACTTACAAGGTCACGGGTAGTGAGCATACTTTCGATGTTTTCTCCAGGCATGCCCGCATGAAAGACTGGCTGAATGACTGGCTGGATCTGCACAGTTGGGTGGTGAATTGATACATGACAAGGCATATATGGTCAAAGCCCTCTGGGAACAAGTAACGGAGTCAGAAGAGAAACTATTTTATTATGGGCTGGAGAGAATAATGCTCCTGGGTGTGACCAGAGGGTTCGGCTGGCACACTACGCTCAGAGGAAAGTCAAGACGGACATACAGTCAGACTACGACTGACACCGTAAGTATTGGAACTCTGCGCTGGCTCCTGAGGATGTGGATGGAGTGCGTATGGGAATGCCCCGAGTGCTGTGATGTCAATTCTTAACTCAAATCAACTCAACCCATTCCCACTCTGCCTTACATCTTACATCTTTGATGGGTCCAGAGATTAATCGTAGTACTTTTGTTGTTGTTGTTGAAAATTTGTAATGAGTCTTCGTCTCTTTGAGCTGTGCTCCAAGTTTCAGAGCCATATAAAACGATTGGTCTTATAAACGTTTCATATTTTTTTTTTGTTTTTAGTGTTGCTAGATAGAGACTTTGACTTTAGAAGATTTTAAAGGGCATTGTATACTTTTTTCCAGTTTGTTTTCTAGCATGTATTTCTTATCTCGGGATGTTGGAGCAGTTGAAGTTGAAGAAAAGAGAATTACTGATAGAAAAAAAGAGACAACTGAACTACTTCGGCATAACAGTTTTAAAAACCATACTTGTTGGAAAGGTCGAAGGCAAGAAAGCAAGAGGGGGACAACAATACAAGTGGGAAGATAACATCAAGAGATGGACTGGCAGCAGTCTGAGAATGTACAAACAGGACAAGATTGTGTTGATTGCAGCCAACCTTCACTGTGGAGACGGCGCCTGACTGATTGATTTGTAAAGATGTTTGATCTGTTTGTGTAACGTTATGCTATGTTATGTTATGTACATGTGTATGGGCTAGGAGCCTTTCCTACCACTAGGTCCGTCCACCGGTGGCCGATGGTGGAGCGGATTTTATATATTGAGGTTAGCCGCGAATAGATCGAATAAGCGGCTGCCGACCAAACATGTGCTGATGGTTATTTGAGAGTAGGCGAACTAGCTAGTGAGATGCAGAACCAACCCCAGAATTTTGCTGGTGTGGTTTTTCTAGGAAAGTTTACGTCCAGTAGTTTGCCATGCCATTGCTTTCCGGGTGGTCAGCTTATCGATACCACTGTCGAAACCAGCGCAAGGACCGCAACTGGGATCGAACCCGGCACCCCGGCAATAGGAAGCCACAGACGCCTACAGCTGGTGGGATAGCTATATCTTTAAAATACCTTAAAACACCCTGTTATGGCCACCTGCGGGTAAGAGGAGCCATTGTAACATCTCTTCTCCCCCCCCCCCTTTTTTTCCCCCGCTGCTATTTAGGGTATGTCTCCTTAGACAAAGGGAGTCTCTGTGACGTAACGGCTAGACGCTCGCGTGCGTAAAGGAAGGTCGTGGGTTCGCTCCCTGGTGGAGAATGACTTTTTTCAAAAATGGCCTTGACTTCTTATTTATTTACTCTAGACAAAGTTTATTGGCAACTGGCGTTAAACTATAAACAAACCCGTGGAAGTCAAGGCGAAAGCACCGCTCTATTTTACCTAGTAAATCATATCTTTAAACCAGTCGTATTCAGACAACGACGGTAATAGGGGTTCTAACTGAATCAGGAAAAAGAGGTATCGCATTCCATTAGTCAGTTTTAACATATAGCTGTGGATAATGGAGGGAAACTGGAACATGTTGTGACCACTGGAGAGATATGTGGAAAGAGAGACAGAGGTAGACAGTGGGAGCAGATTCTTTACAGCCTTTTGTCATGAAATGGAGGAGTATCAGCACACGAAGTGATACACGCAGTTGCCGATCACAGACTGTGGAGAGGCATGATAATCTACGCCAGTTGACAAGGCACTTGATGATGATGCTGTTATGTGGGGTGGTGGTGCTAAACGACATAATCTCAGTTTAAGAGCATAATATTAATACTGTGCTGAATGGTAAATAAATATACACCTCAGACCCACTCACATTGGACTTCAAGTTTTGTGTAACCGTTTTGTTTTTTAAACCAGAGCTTTTCAATGTATATACAAACAGGATTGCAGAACTAGAAGCTCCAGGTGTTGGTAGGGTATTGACATTTGCATATGATATTCTTACATATAGACAGGGAAGCAATAGACAGCAGACAGCTCAAGAAGTATAGACAACAGTGGACAAGATGACTGACTGGTGTGCAGAGATGGGTGCTGTTATCATACCAGAAAATGCGATTGTTTATGGTGATCTCTAAACAACATAATTGTTAGAACTGATGTCCAAAGCATCAGCGTTAATAACAGAAAGATCAAAAGAGAAAACAAACTAGTATCTGGGTATCATTTTCAGTGAAGATGTGGAGGCTGTTGCAGCAAAGTGTCAGAAGGCACTCAAGATTATGACAGCAGTGGATACTGAACAATGATTGTTGTTCACAATGTTCCAGCGCGTGATTCTCTCGGTGATAGATTATGGGATTGGAATGCTTACCCTATTAAATTGCCGGCTTATGAAACTTGAACGCACACAAAATGGAACCATGCAAGTGATTCTGGGATGTATAACCAGGCAAGTATGCGATATATACTTGCACTACCGACTATTGCAAATAAACTCAAATTGCTCCTAGCTAGGTCCTACTTCAGAATGACTGAAAACAAGAAACACCTATTACGCTCTAGACATATCTAAGGGCCACAGACTATAAAAAGAGGAAGGTCTTGGATGACAGAGGCTCACACACACATGCACACACAAATGCAATTAGATATGTGTGCATTCTTGAACCATATTTAGCGAGGAGATGAGTGGATCAGAGTGGCCAAGCAACAAGCAGACTTTTATATGGTTCTAATCCCACTGGGTCAGGAGTGCAGGGACTGATCAGCAAATGCTGCGGAATCAGTAATTCCACAACTGAATTATTGCAAAGCTCAACATGAGTGATTGTATCATACCGATTCCCTCTACTCTGCGCAGGCACCAGTTAATGAATTTGTGTAGTTTATTAGTAATTTTTAAGTTGTTTACCATATTGCAGCTTCATACAACATTACTGATTTGACATTGGAGCTAATTAGTTCAAGTTTACTAGTTTTAATTTCATTTGACTTCCACATATATTCTAGTGCTACGAAAACTCTTCTTGCATTTTTTATTCGTAATTTAATGTCTGTCAGTTCTCTTAAAAAGTGACACAACCAAACGATAGTACAGACATAGCGACACAAAATAACAGGGTAGTGTGAGTGTCCTTACGTGTGGAAATACACGTTTGTCATGAATGTAAGTGCATTTATGTAGGCATTGGTTGACACATATGAAAGAGTATGCATGTGTACCAAATGTCAAATAGGTTTGCATACACGGATAAGGATGAAAGGAAGTGCACACATGCAGTGTTGTCTGCGTGTATGAATGCTCAAGTGCATGCACGCATACACTTAGTTGTGTGCGTCCATGAACTCCGGGGGTTCATACCCAAAACCATCCCATTCTACATCATGCATACAACATGCACATGACCGATATAGCTCACGACAAGATATGACTGACAGCAAATAGGGAAAACAAGTGAATCGACTCTGACAGGACTAGAACACATAACCACCAATACCAACCCATCATTGGGATGATAGCAAAGGTTGGTAACGTGATACACATAGTCCCGGCTAAAGGCTACGCTAGAATCCAGCAAGACGACAACGACGAGAAATGAATGAATGGCCTCCCACCCCCTTCCCCTCAACCCTCCCTACCTCTTTCAGACGCACTATGAGTTTAACCCCCACCCCATTCCCACAGAGAGCACGTGAGTTCGTGTCCCTACATGCCACAGCAATTCTCATCGCCGAACATTTGGATCTCACAGCGTGAGCTGAATGCTCCGGTTATATGGTATTTACGCATACCAGAGCCTAGCTGCCAACATAAACAGACACAACCGGACCACACACTAACAAACGACGATTAGATCCGCTTTAAGGCTCCACACAACATTTTACACACATATCCACCCAAAATGACTAACCCGTTCTTTTAAAACTGTAAATGGTGGTCCAAAGGACGTTGTGTGGAAAAGCGCGCGCCACCCCCCCCCCCCCCTTTTCCCCTCCACGCACGAAATACGCTTGGCCAAATCAAAGGAAAACAACGCAAACTGGAAACACTAAGTAAGACGAGGGAAGACATGCGCAAGTAACACAACAATTTGGAGGACGAGCGGTCTGATTCGGATGGAAGCATCAAGCCCAGAAATAGCGCAAACAATAGAATTCAGTCACGAAAGTGACGCAAATAACCCAGACCACAAATACAGGCGGAGACTGCTAGCAGCCTCGGCTAGCTAGCAGCAGTCAGAACGTGGTCGAGCTTTTCATTTTTTTTTTTCTCAAAAGAACATGGACAAGTGCAGAGAGGAGTAAAACAGTGCTGCAATCTTTCTCCATCGCGAGCACGCACACATTCACAGACACACACACATATAAAGAAGCTGAATACTATGCACATTAAAAGACGGCACGGGAGTTTACACACAGTATAATTCTGAGCGCATCAACCAACCACTGGGGGTCTCTGTAGTTAAATGGTAAAGCCATTTGCTTCATGCTCTGAAGGTCATGTGTTCATTTCCTGGTGGCATCGCTGGGTTCACGAGTGCGATTTTTTTACAAGATCCCTTAGTTACAGGGGCTACATGTTTATGCTTTGTGCGATACTTTTGGCAGGTTGCTAGCTGTTCTGCAAAGAGAGAATGAGCCATGATAAAACTTCGTGAAGTGAAGTTGATCCTCACAACTTTAATCTTTTTAACCAACTGCAGTACTATACAGGTCACATACATTTTGAACATTCTTTGTTCCATGTCCACTACTGCTATAATCTTGAGAGCATCGAGTCCTTTTTGGCATTTCACAGCATGATCCCTAAAAGACAGGCTTTTATTGAAAATAATACCCAGGTACCTTAGTTTCTCTTTTGATGTTACTGTCATTAATTGTGAGGCTTGGAACATCTCAAGGTCTCGAACAAAGAATGCTGTTCACAATGTTCCCGCATGTGATCCTTTTGGTGATAGATTATGGGCTTGAAATGCTTATCATATAAAAGAGTCAGCTGATGAAACTTGAACACATGCAGAATGATGCCATACGGGTAATTCTGGGATGTACAAGAGATACCCCGGTAGTATGTATGAGATATATACTTGCACTGTCTACTATTGCATATAGGCTCAAAGTTCTGCAAACAAAGTCAAAGCAAAGCTGCAGACATGAAGCACCTCTTGCATGAAGCCCTAGGTCAAGCTAAGAGTCACAGACTGAAAAGAGGAAGATCTTGGATGGCCCAAGCCGAAGACATAATTGGACATGTGTGCAAGCTTGATAAATTTGGGTCAAGGTGTCCAAGCAAGTTTTAGACTTGTATATGGTTCTAATCACCAGTGCGGAGGCACAGATAGGTCATTACGTCTGAGGAGAATGGCACTGCGAGGAGTTACGAGGGGATCTGGCAGATGTTCGACACTCAGGGAAAGGGCGAGACGGATGTACAATCAGACAGTTACTGGTGCTATCAGAACTGAACTCTTTGCTGAAGATGGGGACGGAGTGCTTATGGGAGTGTCCTGATTGCTATGACATTGATTCTTAATTCAACATTCAACATTTTTAACAGACTTTGTATATATCAAAACTGAATTATTCCACACACAACATAAATACAAGACAACACATACAATAAAATTTACAAATACCATTTATGTTATTGTGTTTTTATTATTAGTTTTAAATATTTACAAATCACTGTGTAAATATAAATAGCATCAAAATCTCTAGTAAGAGAATGTATTGCACAAATATGAATAATGAGACTAAATTTAAAATAAAAATGCATGTTAAGGAATCAGCAACAAAACTCAGTATGGACAACTGTATTGTGCTCCGATACTGGAGGAAGCAAACTGTGTAGGGTCAAACACCGTGACATTTCCTTGTGAACTTGGAGTCAAGGCTACAGAGAGGATGCACCCAGCCAGGCTGGTTTTGGTCAGGCTATCTGGCAGGACTGGTGAAATGCCTGGAAATAAAACAAGTTTGAACTAGTCTCCACAAGGAAGACATAAACAACAGGCTGCAAAATTTATTTCCTGGCATATCTCGCTGTAGGCCGTGCAGTGTTTGTTTTAATGATCATCCACTGCCTTCTGTCACAGGTAAAACATAAAGCCTCAATTTCAAACAATTGACACCGCAGGCAGATGATGTTAGCCTCATATTTTATAGACCGTTGGACCCTCAGTGGGTGATATTGTCAACATCACACTAGTCACCTTTACTTCTCAGGACATCAGCTAGTATCTTCTTCTTCTTCTTCTTCTTCTTCTTCTTCTTCTTCTTCTTCTTCTTCTTCTTCTTCTTCTTCTTCTTCTTCTTCTTCTTCTTCTTCGCGTTCACCAGCTGTACACTCTGGTGAAAGTTCTAGTTGTTCGTGCACTTCTGAACTGCAGTCCTGCTTCAGAACCTGAGTGTTGCGTGTGCATCAGTTTTACAGATCTGATTCACTTGAATGCAGATTGTTGGTTCCTTGCCTCTCAGGCAGATGCACTACGACTTCAAAGGAAGCTCCCCAATTAGTCGACTCTTACGACATGCTTTTGGGTAGGCAGAGGGTCTATTCTTGTTTTCCCCACGATGGGGCCCCGGAACCCACAAGGGAAACAGCTTTTATCAATTTGAGACCTCTAGCAATCTGGCAGCCAAGGTCAATTGTGGAAAAAATCTGCCTCAGTGTGGATTTGAACTGAAGACTTTCATGCTGGCTATCAAGTGTCTAGTCACTACATTATCACAGATCCCAGTACATGGTGCTGGTGTTGATTAGTTAAGTCAGTCAGCACTTGATGTGTGTTGATGTCCTACTGGTCACCTTTACTTCTTGGGAAATTTCTTGGTACTTATTTTATGTTACCTCAACCAGGTAGATGTGAAAAATAGAATGTCCTCCCTCGAAAGACTTTGATCACACGACCACAAGATCATGAGGCAAGCCTGTCAGGCACAGTTCTATCACAGCTCCAGCAAATTATAAAGTAAATCCTTTCTTTGAACATTTGTTTTATCCCTTTCATGAGTAAAGTTGAAGGATCTTCTTCCATACCTTTTAAGTGTAGTGGGTTATGTTATCACAACCAACATCACTACACATTGGGCTCATGTTTTTCAGATTATCTGCTTATTGTTCCTGTCGCACATGTGCTTAACACAGCAGAATATTCAACATAGCATTAAAACACTCTTTTTCTCACAACTTACTCAAGTCAACAGCACTGTAAATATGTTCAGTTAATCATAGACGTTCAGTTAATCATAGACATTATGAACTCACCCCCATATCCTGCAATATAGCATGCAGCATTATACAGTGCTTGAACTGTGTGACTTCTGGGTATAAAAGTGGAAGTGCCAACAGTATTGTCAACTGCAGAAATAAAAACAGTAATCAATCAATTTTCCTTATCACTGTCAGATGTAGTCCAAATTTTACTGCATGATGAAAACTTCCCTTTCTTCTGCACTTATCCTTAAAAAGACGGCTGGTAAATTTCTTTCTCCAAAATGGGGCCCCACTTGAAGATGCTTCTTCTTCTTCTTCTTAGCATTCACCAGCTGTAAACTTCAGCAGAAAGTTCTGGTTGTTCAACCACACCTGGACTTTACATTTGCACCAAAACTTGAGTTTTTGCATGCACGTCCATTTGACAGATCTGCCTTATCTGTATGGAAACTATTTCTTACTTCTTAGGCAGATACTTAGGCGAACTCTGAAGGAAACATCTAATTATCATGTATTCATGACAGTAAATTTCAAAAGCTTCCAAACCTAGTAGTTGAGCTTACTTTGCTCCCCCACTTGAAAAATTGTAGGGGCCTAGGTGGCCTCTCGCTTGCAGTTGCTGCGCTATAGGTTCTTCGTCTGTTTAGTCTCTGCTTTGTTGATAAAGAAAGTCTTTTATCTGACTTCTTTTGTGCAGTCACCATTGCTCCCCACTACTGAACCTAAATATTCAAAATCTAACATGAAGTATAGCTAGTATGAAACTTGTAACAATGAGTAATACCTGTAGCCTTAGCATAGCTGCCCTTTATTTCCATCTTCAACACATGAGGACGGCCATCACAGAGAGATATTGATCTGAATAAGACTAGCATGAGTGGTTCTGTCACCCCAGGATATGATGGAGGTATGTGTAGGCGTATCTAAGACAACACAGAAAATACACACAAACTGAAGTTAATTATAATATTGGTAAATGAAAGTGATGTCTAACATTACATTTTGTGTAGTGTAACATTTACGACTGTGTAGCAGATCGCCTAGCATTGGTTTTGACAGTGGTAACAAGATCCAACTGTTCAGACGGCAGTGCCAAACAACTTAATGTAAAATTTTCTAGCGAAGTCATTACTGCCAAAAAATACTGCTTCTGGTTTTATAATGTCCAGTTAAAGACAGGCAAATATAACATAACATAACCCTTGACCCTAGGGTGTATTGATGGAAGCTCTAGCGCAAAAAACCCACCATCATTCTGTCTTCAGCTTGAAGAATAAGTGTATGATAACTTAATTCTGTCCAGTTAAAGACAGGCAAATATAAAAAAAACAAACAAAAATAACAAAAAAACAAAACATAACATAACCTTGACCCTTATTTCTTGAACTTAATTCTGTCCATTTCTTGATGTTGTCATTCTAGGTTTTCTTTGCCCTCCTCTTCTTTGACTACAACCCCCCCCCCCCCCCCCCCCGTTTCTAAAAGTACACAGTCAGCAGTAAAGTTAAATTGAGAGTTTTAATTTCTGCAGCCAGCGTGTCTTCGGTGCAAATCTTTCTGGCCCGGTTGAACAACTACGCCACTACGCCATGTTTGTACTGAATAGGTATATTACACATATCTCACTGTCACAACCCTATTAAGTACAGTCAGTGTACCACACCGTAAGGTGTGCACCCAGGGTTGACACAGAGGTCAGGGCCGTCACTGGTCGAGTCCGTTCTGTGATCGCACGGCGAAACCAGCGCTCAGGATAAAGCAAGAAAGCTTGAACTGTGTTTTAGTAACACGATGACTGCTTCTGGGACTGAGCTGGGGAACGGGGTTAAGAGACACGAGGTAGAAGGAAGAAGGGACATTCGGTGTGCGTCGGTCAGGAAGAGAGGACGTTTAGTGACTGGATAGTTTATGTTATAGTATTAAAGTTAGGATATATTTCTGTTAGTGACTGGATAGTTTATGTACAGTTTTGTGTTAGGATAGGATAGTTCTTGTGTAGAGTATTTATGTATATGTGCTGTGAGAGAGTGGCTAACCTGGACACTCTGACCCTGCACTAAGACAGAGACTGTTGTGACAGTTTGATTGGGTCAGCGTGGCGATAGAAGAGAGCGTATCCTGCCCCGGATTGTGGTTTGTTACACCAGAGTATTGCCTGTCGCACGTACTGAGGGGACGGGGCGATTGTAAAGCCCGTCCAGCCAGGAGGGTCCAGGCAATAGGTGGCCACACGGCGGGAAGTCAACTGTCTATGTATTACCTGTAACTCTTCCAATAAAGATTGTCGTGTGTGCTCTGTGTGCGTTCGGGTTCAGTGTGTGTTGTAGGTTAGGCTGTCTGTCATAGGCCTAGTTAGCGAGCCACGGACCGGACAAGGTCATACCAGAGGTTTGTGACAGATTATGGGAGCGTTCGTCCTTGGGAATTTTGAATCTATAGTAGTAGCTAGATAGTAATAGTTGTCCGCGTTAATTGTGAACCCAATGTGCTTTGTACTTATTGTCTTCTAAATAGGAGACATAGATTAGTTTGTATGTTTAGCTGACTGACTATTATTTTTTCTTTAAGTTTTGTCGTTCACTCTTGTAGGGCTAACGTGATTTGAGTTAATCCCTTAATTTTGATGTTGCTATCGAGTAAGTTTGTGATGGCGTAGCTGAGTTTCCTTCTCTTTAAATATGCATCGTTGTCCGGGCCT